AGATTGAGAACGCTTCCTCCTTCCAGGCAAGGAAAGACTCTCTTTCAATGATAGTCGATTGTGCAACTTCTTGACCAGGGAAGACCCCCCATGTCACCGCATTACGTCCATCATCGGGAACGTTCGTCTGACACTCACCCTAAACAACAATTCCATCAACGTGTATACGATATTTTGCAGGGATACGACTGACCTCGAAATTTCCTGCGAAATAATCTACCCATCCTCCCCCGTGATCCCTAATCTTCTTCTCTATCCTCTCCACGACATCTGGCTCCACAAAGAATTCCACGAAACATTTCTGATACACATATCCACCCCTTGGACCCCATCCAAGCATTTCGTCGGCTGAGCTAGCACCGTTTACAGCCGGTTGTGAACCGACTGTCCACCAGCCATTTTTTGTCAATTTCTCGAGATGAGGGAAGATCATCAGCGACTCAGGCGAAAGAGGAGAGGGTGAAAAAGGTGTAGTGGCTATCTCGGAACGGAGGTGTCGAAGGAAAATATTAGTTAAGTCGTCCGGGGATTTAGGGTGGCCCCATTGCTTCAAGGACTGCTGGTGCTGTAAAAGATTAATAAAAATCGTAGTGAGCCATTCGGCGTAAGAGACATACTGGGATTACTGAGCTATTCCAAGGATTAGGATCGCCATACGCGGGACTCTTGTAGTCACCAAATCGGCCATTCGGGAACTCATCCCAGGTCGCCGCGTTATTGACTTCTCCCTTTCCAGCTTCTGAGTCACTAGAAGTCTTCGTAGCCAGTTGGCTTGTGGCAGAATCCAAAGCACTGTGTGGGGATATTAGAAGTTCAGATTCTTGTGGCAATTCTTGAGTAACCGTTCCAGGAGTATTCTATGTGTGCCAATATCAGATTGGGGTTAGAAAAATGGGGAGATTGTGGGACGTACTAAGATAAGCTTGTTTACAACTCTGGGAGTGCCCTTACTGCTGACCCATTGGAGTCCTTCGATGACCCTTTGAACACTCTTCTCCAAGTTCAAGGTGCAGAAATGGACGCCAGGTATATTACCCTCTGTTGTGACACGGTGAATCATCTTCACGGCCAGCGTTACACCGTAGTCTTTGACTTTTTGATCATCGTGCTACATTTAAAAAAAGCTCTATTTTTTGCATTCTATGAGTGAAGATATTAGCCCTACCTTTATGGCATCCAGATCCGCCATTAAATCACTGGGTACTCGTGTGCCGCACAATTTAGTCAGTCGTTGGAAAGAAGAATATGTCTGTAGAGGCATAATTCCTGGGATGATAGGAATCTGTATGCCTATACAATGTCAATTACTGTCAATAATGCGATTTATTTGGGTACTAACCTTTAGCTCTGACCTTTCCTACCCATCTCAAGAAGTTATCGACGTCGTAGAAAAGTTGTGTGATGATGAAATCTGCCCCCGCTTCGACTTTTGCTTTGAGGTGCTCAATTTCGCCATCCTCATCAGCATCCTTGTCAGTGTGACCGTCGGGGTAGGCTATTTAGTCTGTGAGAATGAGCCCAAATTTAAGACGAGTCTAGCCAAACGGTATTTACCAGCAACGCCGACACAGAGGTCTGAGAATTCTGGAGTGGACTTGATATACTTGACCAGATCAACACCGTGACTAAATCGGGGATCGACAGGAATCCAGTATTCAGCACCCCTCGGAGGGTCTTCGATCTAGAGTCAGCCAACCAGACAATCCTAATAAGTTTACTGCCCTTACCTCCTCTCAATGCAAGAATATTTTGAATTCCTCGTTCTTTTGCAGTCTATAGTCAATTTAAAATCAGCGTGCAAAGGTAGTATCGCATAACTAACTCACCCGCAAAGCCTCATCTACGGTACCTTGCATCATATTAGTGCATGTTAAATGCATGATCGTGTCTAAACCGAAGTCCTTCTGGGCCAATCCAGCTAGATCGAGACTTCGATCCATCGTGCTCCCTCCTGCACCCCATGTTACGGAGACCGCGAGGGGTTCCAGGGAAGAAAGTCGTGAGATACGGGTGAGTAAGTTTTCGAATCCCTGAAACAATGGTTTTGATTAGTAGTCAATGGTGGTCTCTGTTTCTAGGTCGCACCTGTTCTGTTTTCGGTGGAAAGAATTCGAAGGTGTAGAAGGGGTATGCATCGCAGCGGTTCACAATCTTGTCGATTAACTTCATGTTGGTTAGTTTGGATGGGGTGAGACCCAAGTGAAGGCAGAGGGAATCAGCTGGATGCTGTCGATCGTTCGGAAAGTAAGCCCGACGACTCGAACGGCGTATGAATCAAGATTGCGCAATGATCACCTTGCAGAGTGCTGGTGAATCCTCACAGTTTGCACTCAAGGTTTTTGGTAGAAACTTGAGAGTAGACTATATGCTATATGGACCCCTAGAGATGGTCGAATGAGAAATGAGCGCAATCGAATTGGATTTACGGAGAAGCGAGCCGGGGTAATTTCCAGTCTGGCACTGCATCACCAGCCGATCCTCGACTTCGACCACGTTTCGACGTACGACTTGCAAGCTACTTCATTGTATCATCTTAGTCCGCTTACTTCGTATACCACCTCTATTCGCTTTTGTATAACTTATCTTCACGAGGGAAGCTATCATGAGCGCATCAACCCCAGTAACTGCCGACTTTTCGTCACCACCCTTGAAACGTAGCAAGATTGTGTTGCTTGGGGACCAGAGTGTTGGGAAGACGAGTTTAATTACAAGGTTAGCATGGAGCTTTAGCGTGACTTAGGACATCCGTTCCTGAGACATGGGTTTATGCGTAGATTCATGTATGACACCTTCGACAACACATACCAAGCAACCATTGGTATTGACTTCCTGAGCAAAGCCATGTACTTGGAAGACCGAACCGTTCGCCTACAATTATGGGATACTGCTGGTCAGGTGTGTCCTTATAGTCTAGCACATTGTCGTGTGCTGACTCGCTGGGCGTCGAACAGGAACGGTACCGGTCGTTAATCCCCTCATATATTCGAGATTGCTCAGTTGCAATCGTCGTCTTTGATATCACAAGTATGCATACTGCGCTCTATTCCCTTACCCTCTAGGTTAACAGTTACTCCTCACAGATCGCCAATCGTTTATGTCAACAACGAAATGGATTGATGATGTACGGTCGGAACGAGGGAACGATGTGATCATTGTACTCGTGGGCAACAAGGCCGATCTTTCTGACAAACGGTTCGTACCTCGTACTTTTCTACGTTCTTTATTTATCTTACACACTAATGTGATCCAAGACAAGTTACCCTGGAAGAAGCGAATGCCAAAGCGACAGAGCTCAACATCATGTTCATGGAAACATCCGCCAAGGCGGGTCATAATGTGAAGAGTCTTTTCAAGAAGATTGCTATGTCGCTAGTAGGATTGGAGAAGGAAGGTGAAGCTGCTGAACAACAGAACACCAGTATGTTCTCCTTTACGTTGGTATATACCTAATATCTAATTCTCTTGGTGCAGAAATTGATGTTACATCACCTCCTACAAATGAGATTCCGGATGCCTCACAATGTAACTGTTAATGCAGACACAGTAGTGTCTTCAAGTTCTAGTATGCTTCACCACGTTATTCTTTCATTCTTCATCTTGCTTTCTGTCTGTCTGTAATTTTATAGACCCTTTTGGAACCTGGACAATCCCAATATGGACGTCTCTGTCGTCGTACCTCTGTGTGGTGTATCAAGTGAGGGAAGCTTAGTTTATTCGAAATAAGTATAGAAGACGTGCTCTTTTGTCGGTTCGCCGCTGCCATTGGTAATACACCTATCTTGTGGTAACTGCGCTAACGTCTATATGCTTTCGGCACTAATATTAATCTATTCAAAATATGGGCTGCTCAATTGTCATAATGTGCAGGTTGGTCGATGCTGCTTGCGTGGAAAAGACCTTTGTTACGCGCATTTGCTCCATTCTTCATAAGCTGGAAAACGCGAGGTTCTGTGTGCAAGATGAGAAAATGGTGTGAGTTACCTTACTGATGGTGGTGGAAATCTACCGTGATAATGATGTGTAAGTCCTGGTGGGATGTGTGCCAGAAAATACAAAATACGACGAGCGAGAGCCTATTAAAAGAAGCTACTCAAGGAGGCTCTTTGAGTTCCGTCGGCGATCACTTACGCGATCATGATTGCCGGCGCGAACCGCGTACTTTTGAATAACTTTACTACGACCCTAACGCGTCCTTCATCTTCCTCCATCCGGCACTACATTTACTCTACTTTAATTGTGTAGGATCGAGATGTCTACTGCAACGCCAACGCTGATACCAAGGAGCCCTGTCTTCCCAAACGTACTTCCTATGTCACCCCAACCACATCCCGTACCATTCCCACCATATGGGTACCCGTCGTCTCGTATACCTCGCAGACGCGACTTACACCGCGAAATGATTGATCTGAGCGACGAGGAACAAGAGATGGATGACTTGGTACGTTCCCTCGCATGTCAATTGCTCGTGAATACTTACCGTTGTTTACGAGGTATAGAATGAAGAGATCAAAGATAGAGGTGCAAGTTTCTTGATTCCAATAGGACGTCTCATGACACAACAAGAGGAGAAAAATGACGTGAGTTCTCTACTATTGCTCAATGTAACATGCAAGTATCATATCTTGTTCTAGGCCGATGAAGACGAAGACGACGGTGACGGATCTCATACTACCTCTGAATCCTCGGAACCTTCAGAGGAGGCTCCATCCGAGGAGGAGAACGAATCCGAGCAAGACCTCGATGCCGATATGGAAGACATGGATGAAGAAGGTAATATGACCGCAGAAACCGCAGGGTCTGATGAAATGGACGACGAAGACCAAGAGTAGATAACGAGAGTTGTGGTCGGCCCTGTTCATGTGGGCTTCCTGGCTCTCTCCAGATGATTGCGTACATCAGCGGTCTATGGCTCTATAATACTGGGACTCTCTTAGAGTTTGACCAGCTTCAATCTACGGTGTAGGCTGACATCGACAACTATGTCATGGGAAACTTAGGAGGGCACTATGGCCGAGTGGTTAAGGCGGTAGATTCGAATTAGCCTCGATTACATCTACTCCCCATTGGGGTCGCAGGTTCAAATCCTGCTGGTGTCGGTAGTACCATGTTGAAGTGTGTTTTTTGTCTCCAAAGTTGACTTAGTCTCGAACTTCCTAAATCGGGTAATGCGATGAGGGCTACTGCCTAACAAGAGCAAACATACCCAGTCAAGTCAACGCCCGAGCAACAGGCGCGTTCACTGACCACCATTATAGCCAAAGTATGAGCAACTATTCAGCTAATATTCTTCGGCCTCTCAATACTTCTGTATCTCAATCTCCAGTCTCTCAGATCTTCCTCCAATGGCAAGGCTTAGTATGGCTTGCTGGTAATTTCACGGACTCGGTTTATGGTTTCGCAGCTCAAAGATCTCATTACGAGCTCAAGTACTTGCCTATATCGAAAATATCCCTCGTTTCTCCTATGTACTGGGCTATGTTATCACTCGTCTCTGTTGCCACCTTCCTCGCGTTTGAATATCTATGCCGCAATACTCGGAAAATGCGAAGACCGCTAGATGTCAGGCCCGCCTTGACCGCGCTATCTGCACTTGTTGTTCCTACTACTTCTCGCTGGACTTCTGCGTTCATCACTCTTGCTAGGCGAGCTACTAACTCTCATGATCCCTCGATCTTCATTCCACTGTCACTACTCCATTCGTCAGTAAAGTCCGGAAGGATCGAGTTACGGAATTCTAAAAGAGTTCTTTCATCCCTTCTTTGCGACGAGTTGAACATAGAAGGATGGCGAATCCGCCTGAAAGTTGAAGGTGTATGGCAGAGACGGCTGCGTTGGACTAGCCTCACATCTCGTGTATCTTCATGGAAATATGAGGTAAGTCAATTTGCCTGCTATCCTTAGAAGCTACTCAGAATTGTTCTCAGCCTGATGAAGTTACTTGTAAGTGTGCATATATGCGACTGGTTATCTCTATCAAATTTCCTCGTGTTAATCGTGAGTATATGCATGTAATGATATCCGTCAGTTTGGACATCGACGATGGAAGGACTACTCGCCATCACCTCGCCGGAAGCCCGCACATCTCTACTCTCCTTCCCATCAACAGAATCATTCCAAGAACACGCCATTCCTGTCCTCGCATTAGATGCAATCCCTGACTCTTATCTACCCTCGTTCATCCGAGATCTTCAAAACCGATCCGAAAAACTCTTTGTTCTCACCTGTGTCACTCGAAGCATGACAGAACCCCTGCAAGACACAGCATCCATCCTCACTTCCATACCATTTCTATTCCCGAGGTATTCCGCCACAAGACCCACTGGTAACAAATTCGCCAATCGGTCTTCGCAAACCTTCGCCTCAAATACGTCTATATACGGTGTTGTCAAGATTCTCACCTCGATGCAATCGCCGTTCGTTGTGGAATGCATGCGGAATGTCTCCGGCGTTTATGCGAATGCTTTGCAAGGTTATGTCGAAAGATTGGAAACGGATAGTGAACTTCGGACAGACTGTGTGAAGGCATGCGGTATCAGCGGGTGGAGAGAAGAAAAGTTTTGGTCGACCTGGGAGGCTGCTTTGTTCACTTCAGGGATGCTCTCCCGCTGGGTGTTGTTAGTATCAAAACGTTGATACTGCTCCAGAAATTGTGTTTCAGCTTTTGTGGATGTTATGCAGGCAATCAAACCGGTCTTTCATTGATTATCTTGTCCGATGCGAAGAAACCCGAAAGCAACCACATACGCGATCCTGGACCAACACGATCAAGCAAATAGTTCGGATATCCGGGTTCATTTTCGGACCGGCGGCAGAAGTCGGGATGTTGTCGAAGTGGTTCCGATGAGATGATACACAACGCTTCGCTTGTTTCTACTCCCTTGGTCGAACTTCGAGATTCAGAGCTTGGCCTCTGTTGACACAAAGTGAGACATCCCATGTGCACTAGCTATGATACCCATAAACAGCGCTCCTGACTCCATTGTGATGTAAGTTTCGTTCTCCTATTCCATGACAGCGAACTGATCGCTTACAAAGTAACGGTATAAGGACGGTATTGATACAGCCAATGAGCTCTGCACCCTATAGGCTGCAATATCTATTCCAAATGTCTGGTACGGATGCTCCCCGCTGTCTATCTGGTTCCGCTCACTTTCCGGATAGTACTGGACCTTGCCTCCTTGAGGCTCTACCCGAACTACCTACTCGGCCGATTGCCTTACAGAGACAAAGAAAGAGACGACCGGAAGTCCCCGATATCGCTTAAGGACGATTCTACCCGTAAAAGGTAGTGTTCTGCTTAGTCATCGAGGAATGTTTAGCCCAAATGGGAGGTCTAGCCTTCTTTCGGAGTGGGAGTGAGGAATTGGCTCGGGGGCGAGGTCAAGTAAGAACTCGTCTCCTAGCTAACTTCCCGCTCTCGCCCGTACCATAAAAAATATAAGTAGCTCGTTTAACCTGGTATGTGCCTCCTTCACTACTTTCCCTTGCGCATTTGCGCACCGTTCCCTCACTCATCCCCGGACTCGTTCTCTGGTCTCTGGTTTCTCTCCGTTTAACCCTCATGGAGAGTCTAGTCCCAAGTACCACGCCGACTTTGTCTGGCAATGATGATCATGATCATGACCACCACTCACATACTCCAGCTCATAATCGACGTGTCTCCATAGTATCCAAACCCCACCCAGGACCTCATCATGCCCCAAATTCCCCTGATCTCTCGTTCCCGTTCGCAACCACCAATCTGCAGGAGGGTGGTATGACAGATGAGTACCGTCTCATATCCAGTACCGGTCTTATCTCTGCCGATACTGCCCTGAGACCAATACCGTCACACCTCTCACAACCTCCTGCCGCACTTCGGGATCCCGAGAAGGCTAAGCACCTGAGAGATATCAAGTTGGTTACATGGCTCGAGAACGATCCGGAGGATCCTCGAAACTACTCGAATACCTACAAGTGGTGTAAGTTCGGCTCTTCTTAATCTGATGTCTTGCTGACGATTGTTTATTGTTAGGGTTGACTGCCGTTTGTGCCCTGTCTGTCGTTTCCGCTGCATTCTCTAGTGCGGTTGTTACCGGTGATTTCAAAGATATCAAAGAAGAATTCGACATAAGCACCCCTGTCGTCTCGCTGAGTGTCAGTTTGATGGTGTGTGGATTTGGTATCGGCCCATTGATTTGGGCACCACTGGTAAGTATCTTTAGTGTAACACATCCAGCCTAATCGATCTAACATCCAAACCCAGAGCGAGCTTTTTGGCCGTCGTCCTGTCTGGATAATTCCCACTTTTATCTACGTCCTCTTCAACATCCCCTGTGCTATGGCGAAGAACGTTGAAACGCTGATGATAGCGCGGTTCTTCTGCGGTGTTTTCTCGTCCGCTCCCTTTGCACTCGCAGGTGGAACTATCTCAGATATTTGGGATAACGACGAACGCGGTTTTGCCATTGCGTTGTTTGCCGCAGCCCCTTATGGTGGTCCTGTCGCTGGTCCCATCGTGGGTGGTTTCGTTGGTGAAACTATCGGGTGGCGATGGATTTTCTGGGTCAATATGATCTTTGCCGGTGTTGTTGCTCTTACGATCTTGACAATTCCAGAGACATATGCACCCGTCTTGTTGAGGAAGAGAGCCGAGATGTTGAGAAAGGAGACTGGCGATGAAAACATCAAAACTGAACAGGAGCTCTTCAAAGCCTCGTTCTTTGAGATATTGCAGGAAACACTCATTCGTCCTTTCGCTATGCTTGCGACTGAACCGATTCTACTCCTTCTCTCGCTATACATCGCACTCATTTATGGTCTTCTGGTACGTCCCTCACTATAGCACTCAGGTATCATTTATTCACCTTTCTCCAGTATGCTTACTTCTTTAGCTTCCCTATCACGTTCTTGGAACATTATCATTGGAGCGATGGTAAAACCGGCTTGGCGTTTATATCTATTTGGATTGGACTCGCCGGCGCACTCTTCGTTACTCCCCAACTCGAGAAGCGTTATCTTGCGGCTGCTAAGGCGAAAGGTGGTCGGGCTGATCCTGAGGACCGTTTGCCTGGCATGTTATTGGGCTCACTATTTATCCCAGTGTGTAAGTATTTTGACTACAACTATTCAAAGGTCTTTCTTACTAATGTTTAAACTGGTTCAGCTCTGTTTATCTTTGCATGGACTTCACCTCCTACTGTCCAGCCTGGTGGAGGCAACTGGGTTGGTCCTGTCAGTTCAGGTATCCCCTTTGGCTTCGGAATGGTTACGCTCTATTTCTCCGCCAACGCCTACATTATCGATGCCTTCCCTGGTTATGTTGCGTCTGCTCTAGCGGCGAAAACCGTTGTCCGTTCTGGTGCTGGTGCTGCAATGCCGCTCTTCATCACGGCGATGTATCATAACTTGGGTATTGGCTGGGCCGCAAGTACTTGGGGTTTCATCTCATTCGCAATGGTATGTCGTATTGCATATACACCTCGTCGGTCCCCAAACTAATGATACATTGCAGATTCCTATCCCTTACCTATTCTACTTCTACGGAAAACGTATTCGTTCTTTATCGAAACGTGCTGCGGCCTAGATATCACTCGAACTCTTCATATCCCTTCTCTTATCCACATACATTGTTCGCACTTCCTCCTTGCATTTGAGTCTTCCATTCATCTACCTTCGACGCCTAGACACACTAGACCATAGATAGCTCAACAACTGCCTTCAGCCATCACCATCGATCATTTCATTTTCCAGTCATATTATAGTAGAATACACGATTTCCCATTAACTATGTAGCATCTTCTGGGTCACCGAGGGTAATCAACTGGGCAATGGACCAAAAGGCCCGCCCTTCTACATATTCACATTTCATGAGTTTAATCCAATACATAATTTGCTACAGTAATACAATTGTTTACGATTCAAAGATGTCCGTGTTTGTGAATTAGTATGTTAGTGTACTAACAATGCCATCGACAATACGTAAAGAGTCAGGTATATGGAACTTCTCGAACTGCATTGGGACCGGAGTGCTAGAAAGCTGGTTAATTCTGCGAAAGGCGAAGTAGAATCCGATCAACTTACTCCCAGGCAGTGATTCTCTTCACAGGGGCATTCA